CTCCTCCCATCACGTCAACTCTTGCATGCGTTCACTTGAATCTTAACTTCACTTCTGCAGTTCTAGTAAGTAGTACCAAAGCAAGGACTCAATTTAGTTGCATTCTATGTCTAGAAGAATTTGGTACTCATTTAATTCCAAATAAGGTTCCAAGCATCTTTAACCTGGTCTTTATGATGCGTTCAGAGTACCTGATCAGTAGAAATGTTTTGAATAAGTTTGGACGGAATGTTGGAATCTGAGGCTTAACGGCCCAAATTGCCAGCGTGCTAGCTATACAGACCATTTGACCTCCCAAAAGGCAGTAGGTGGAACTGCTACAATCTTTAAAATGTACTGGCAGGTTGGTTCCCACCCTAGTACGCGAAGAGAGATGGTGGCTTCGAATTAGTGTCATTTGTTTTGCCCTGACTCCCCTACCACCTCTTTGTTTTTTTTCTTTGGCACTGTTTTACTTGATTGTGAGGTAGTTAAGCTAGCAGATATTATTTCTTTGTAGGGTGATATGGTTAAACATTGAGTTGTCCAGACTTGAGATTTGGAAAGCCATCATGTATGTATGCATTCTGACTGAATTGGGTGTTAAAGCATGTAATGAGGCAATGACACCTTGTCCACTGTCTGCCAGATTTGGCTAAACTTGGCGGTCTTGCACTGGTGGTTGGAGAGCTTAATCACCCTGCATCAGATATCAGGACGATATCTGCATGGGTGATTGGCAAAGCTAGTCAAAATAATGTACTTGTGCAAAAACAGGTAAAGTCTCTTTTTGCTATCTGTTTGCTGTCATGCCTTGTATATGATTACAGCGAATAATTTCCTAAATCCCGAATCTCTCAAGGTTTTGGAGCTTGGGGCACTATCAACCCTAATGAAGATGGTGTTATCTAATTCAGCTGATGAAGCAATTAAAGCGCTCTATGCTGTGTCAGCCTTGATTCGTAACAATGTTGCTGGTCAAGATATGTTCTTTTCTGAAGCTGGGGATAAACTGCTTATGGTAATTTAGAATTCTGGAAACCTTTTGATGATCCAACTTCCATTGCTATAAGAACTTCAACCACTCAATTCGTATTCTATCAGGATGTTCTGAGCAACTCCAGCTCCAATATCAGACTCCGCAGGAAAACAGTTTCACTTGTTTCTGATCTGGCCGAAGGTCAATTAGAAAATCCAGTCCGAGGAGAACATTCTTGCTTTGGAAATCAGCTGTTCTTGAAGTCTATTGTTGATTTGACCATGTCAATTGACCTTGATCTCCAGGAAAAGGTAACTCTTTAGCATTCAGACTCTACCCTTGCTTTTGTAGAAACCAGTAGTGGACAGGCAGACAGAAAATTTATTGGAGCTTGGCAGTAATCTTTATTCACTTGGGATCTGGTGGTCATTATAGGCTCTTCTAGCTATCAAGAATATCCTGCAACTGAAAACTGGGAATGCAGTCATTTTGAAGGACTTTTGTGGGCTGGATGATGCTTTGGAGAGAATGACACAGGAGCTGGACGGTGTAACAGCAGAGGAATCAAATGGCGACTTTGCAGTTAGTGTAGAAAATTTGCGCAGAGAAGTACAGATGACTTTCCACAAAAAGCTTGGGGAGGTATGTAAAATGCTGAACCTTTTTTTACTGTTTCCCTTTACAGGTCACAATGCAGATTGATGAAACTCGCCCTTCATTTCTGATTTAGAGTTTAGAATGATCCGAGGCTCTTATTTCGACTGGTTTCCATTCTATGTTGCAGGAGACTGGAGTTGGGGCATCATGAGATAGATGTTGTCTGCAAATATATTCTGTTGAGAGCAAAGTCCGGCCATGTTCGGATGGTCATCTACGATGGGTGTTCCTACTGGCTATCGTATATGCAAGAGGGAGAGAGAAGGAAGATTGTATTTGTTATCTGGAACAAGTGCTAAAGTTCACCTCCCAAACATTAGATTCAGATAGTCTTTGACTCAGAGATCAGGTGCTCGTTCAGCTTTGTTCTTTTTATAACTCTGTTTAGAAGATGATGGCTCACATGTGACTAGAGTGTTCAGATTAGTGTTTGTTGGTCGCTGTCGCCCGATAGGGATGGGGAAATATAACAATTATCACTTAGCTAATATGAAAGAACTGGGTTACCCGGAAATCTGCTCGTTTAAAAGATTATAAATGTGATCCTGTGACTGTGAGCACTGAGCAGTCTTTAAGATGTATGGTGCAAGACTTTTATTAAAGAGTAATGTCTATTTTTTATCTAAACCTTTTTTCAGATTATTTTATATTATCCAAACTTATCGAAATAGTAAGAATTAACCAAATGTTAACCTTTATTTAGCAATTTTGTTAGTAATATGGACTTGGCAACATGATACTGACTTCGAAAAGATACATGTAGGTCAACATTCCAAAATTTTCGTATTTTAACTACGAAAAGAGTTATAAAATTATTAACAATAACGTAAAAATGGCTAATATTTTGATGCATTATGAAAGATTTGGCTAATTAATAGAATTTTAATAGGTTTGAATAATATAAAAGAATCTGGAAAAGGTTTGGATAAAAAATAACCATTACCATTAAAAGAAGATATGAATTATGATTATTGACTATGGTCAGAAAGTAATTGTGACCATTAATAAAAGGTACAGTAACTTGTCCCCTAGAAGCAACTCAAAAGAAGTCCGAGTTTGGCTTGGTTAGTACTACTAGCAATTATTTAAGTTCAGTGTAATTGTTGGTTAAATTAATAAAGAGCAATTATTATTCAAGGATAATTGTAGATATCTGCAACCTAATCAGGTATGGATATCACTTTGATATTTTATTCGATTTTTTTATGGGTATAGGTATTGATATGAAAAAAAAAAGCCGAACTATTTTGAATAAGCTAATGAATTTGCACCCAACTCGATTCGTTAGCAATTGCTATCCTTCTCCAATCCAATCAGGTAATAGTAGCTAGGGCTGGAAGTTTGGTATTGGTATTTGGAATATACCGAATACCATACCGAATTTACCGAATATTGGATTATGTTTTAGGGAATGGGATTGAGATTCATTTTGAAGTGTTATTTGATATTTGGGATTACGAGATTGGGATCGCTATACACCGAAATACTGAGAAACACCAAAAATTAAAAATTAATGAAATATAGCACACAACATTTGGTCATTCCTCACTTTTTCACAACTTAGAAGCCCCCATCCAACTCAATATTGACTTTCATATTAGGTCACTCTCGTCTGTCACTAGGGGTGTGCAACGGTTCAGTCCGGTCTGGACCAGACCAAACTCATGAGAATCGCGGTCCATTAGTTCAAGACATCTAAGGACCAAGGACTGGACCATCCTTGCATTCAATCCATTTGGTCTGGTTCGGTCCGGTCCAAATATCAGCTCGGTCCATCATTTCTTCAGTAATTGTAAAATTCATTGAGACCAAGGACCAGACCGCATTACACTAAGTCTGGTGTGGTCCGTACGGACCAGACCATTGCACACCCTATCTCTCACCTAATCTCTTGTTATTTTCGTAACACCAAAAAAGCAAACACTACTATTAGTTGTCTCTCATTCTCCAATTCGTTAAATTAAAGATTACCAATGACAAGAATTTGAGATGTCACCACTCCTCCGTTATCCTTATCCATATCCTAACTCTAGGCAAACTCAAGACTCTTTGATTAGTCTCTTTGCCCTAAATTAAACAATTAAATCTAATTTATATATTAAATTATTATTTGTAAAGTAAATTAATTTCGTATTCGATAATACCGATTGAGATTCCAAAATAATTAGGGAATGAGATTGGGATACCGAAATTATTTAGAGATTGAGATTGTGATTGATTTTATGATGTAATTCGACATTCAAAATTTCGGTATTTGATTTTAGGGTATCGATATCTAGGGTTGGGAAACGGTGCGGTCTTGCCTATACGGTCTATGGTCTAGACCGAGAGGCTGGAGTATAGACCACAAACCAAATCACAGACTATATGGTCCGGTCTGGACCACGCCTGTGCGGTCTGGTCCATATAGACCGCATCAACGATAAATGAACAATTTGTTTAGTCAACCACACAAAAAGTTGAACCAATAACCAAGAAAAAATATATTTTTGCATTAAAACATTAATTCTAACATACATGAATAATTTTGACACCCTAAATCTTAGTACATAACAAAGATACAAAGTAAAAACACCCCAACTTGCACAATAACGTCAAAACATTAACATAATTTCACATAGAGACACGATTATCTCTACTCTCTAGTGAAATGTGGTTGTGAATGAAGGAGGGGACGAGATTCTCAAAATTAAGGTTGAGACTTGGGTGTCATTGTGGGAGTTTGGAGAGTGATCGAATGAGTTGTTAACACGTATTGAAAAGTCGGTTGACCCACAGTTTGGTCCGATAAACCGCGATCTAGATCAGACCAGACCAAAAAATCAAAACATCAAATATTATAAACCATGAAGCAGACAATACTTAATGGTCTACGATCCACACCAAACTGTACGGTTCGGTTTGGGCCACGATTTTTCTAATCTTCTGGTCTATTTTCCAAGCCCTACCGATATAGTATCAATTTCCCTTTTAAGAGTTGCATCCACCAGCGTGGCCCATAATCCCTTTTGGATCTCTTTACCGCTGGAAACTATTTTGGGGAAGAGTTCGTATTCGTGGGCTTCAGCTGCAGGTCGGCATACCCGGACAATCAACGTGGGCCAGAAAAGTCCACTCCTGACAACGCGCTGCTGATTCTTCCAATTTCCAAGGCCTGATTTGTCCCATAAACAAAGAAGCAGAGGAAAAAGGGACAGAACATCGGTTGCGTAGTCTGGCAGCAGCAGGGAACTTTCCCGGAGCTTAATCCCCCGGGTGGTCGTTTTTCCGTCGACGATCACATTGGGGACAAATCCAACCTCCTCGTATTCACCGATCAGCAGCTTTTCCAGGCGAGAGACAGAGTTCGTGATTTCCTCTCTTCTTCTTCTTTCAAGCTCCTGCAATGGCGGATGCCGGCGGTGAGAAGCCTCTTAAGAAGATCGCGGAGGCGTTCAAGGGGCTCGAAACCACTGTCAACTCCCAATCCGCCGCAGGCTTGGAGCTTGCGCCCTTCTCTCGTGCCGCTTCCCTCGTCTCGCCTCTCTTTGGTTGTTTGGGCATCGCCTTCAAGTTCGCTGAGATGGATTATGTAGCCAAGGTACCCCTTTTGTGTAATTTGAATCCGCCATTATAAGCTAGGATCAGTTCAGTTGCAAAGTTCCCTTCTTTCCCACATTTTTGTTTGGGGGGAATTTGAATTGATTAGTTTCTGATGAGCAGGTTCACGATCTTGCAGAAGCATCAAAATCAATTACGACCCTACCAGTTATGATGGACAAAGATGTAGCGGGAAACACGGTGAGGAAAGCCGGCAGTCACACCAGGAACCTCTTGAGGGTGAAGCGTGGCCTCGACATGGTCAAAGTGCTGTTTGAGCAAATTCTTGCAACACAGTACGCGCCTCTCTCCTTCTCTCTTCTGCATTTCCTTCGTCTTTCAGCTTCTCATAATTAAGTCTAGCAAATTTTGTTATGGCGTTTGTTGGTATGAGTACGGCCGCCCCATGCTAAGAAGTAGAGCTGATGGAATATGCAATACCCACATTTCAGATTGATCCAGAGTTATTGAATTGAATGCACTCAGTGGTTTTTGCTTTCTGTTGGTTTGTAATGTGGCTTTGCATCGGAATCTCCCAGTCACTATTCTGTCTAGCGAAGAATGGTGTTTCTATTTTCCTAGTCCTTGCGCATGTTGTTCTTCTGCTCGTATGTCTCTGCAGCAGTTCTTTGCCTTTAGACATTACGGAGAGATGTTACTCTTATGTGTTAGTAAATGGCAGTTGATTAAGTCGCTTACTTTAGCCAGATTTTCTTTTTCGGATTGGTGTTTCTATTTCCACTCATCTTCTGTATTGGCACTGCTTTGAGCAATGTCCACTTACTTGTTGCTGGGCGTAGTTTCTACCAACTGTGTATTTGAGTAGCAATCTTGGGATACGTTCTTGATTGCTGATAATGCAAATAAAAAAATGGAGATTCCAAACGATGGTGGTGTCTGTTGTATGGATGGTTGGAAGGACAACATTAACATTTTCCCTTTTTCTGGCTGCAGAGGGGACTCCCTGAAGGACCCAGCTTCAAAGGCTTATGCACAGGTATTTGCTCCTCACCATGGTTGGGCGATCAGGAAAGCAGTTGGTGCAGGGATGTATGCCCTTCCCACAAGAACACAGCTAATGAGGAAGCTTAACGAAGATGGTGAGTGTTTGCATTCTCGTTGAACCATTTTTCTCAGTAAACAGTAATGAGATCTAGATTCAGCCATTGTGCTTTACTCGAAAAAGTGCCAGAACTCTGTTGCATTATGTCCTTGGGTATGCCTTCTCGCTCCCCTAATCTGATACGGTACACAATATCACACTTCCGTTCTTCTTGCATAGTTGGTTCGACTTAGCGTTGATACGTCTAGCAGGCTTGAACTTCGACAAAATTGACTCTCTTCTAGGCTGCAAATGTTAGTTTGCACCCGACAAGGCATGAAATTCTAGTTGCTGACTTGTGGTTGCACTCCACTGCAGTCTTGAACCTTAGTCTAAAAATGCATTTGTTTTCCTCTAACGATGGAGATAAAAAGGAAAAAGAGAATGAAACCATTTCATGCTGTCTCGATTCTTGGTAGTAGCATCATCTGATTCGTGTTCCTGTGTGTTCTTTGCAGAGGCTTCAGCAAGGATTCAAATGCAGAGTTACATCTCAGCATCTGGGCCGCTGATAGTGTACATTGATAAACTATTTGAGACGAGGGAGCTGGGAACAGATTGGTGAAGAACAAGAACCCAAATGTTGACTTGTAGCCTGTGATGATCCGCCCCTGGGGGGGTTACCTCCACCGGAAATTCCCTTGCTGTTAATATACTCTCTTAAAGTGGAATCTGTTGAAATAATGTGTACAATTATCCAAAAGCTCTTTAAGGAGACGGTGTTGTATAATCTTTATATTGACTTGACTGTGACTTATGTGTAATTCTAATGCGAAGTTCTCGTTCCTTCTACACACTGCTTCTAACACAGAGGAGGCGAGATGACAGATCTGGAATCATGTGAATTGCATACTAATTACTAGCTACATTATCTCACCTCTAAATGAAATCTATACATTTCAACAATCCATTCATTTTAGCATCTCATCCAAGAAAAAAGCCCCTCCCTTAAAATTTGTTGACACAAGTTTAGCATTTGATTAGATTAACTGACAAAAATTTGAGTGTTGGAAAATGAGGATGCGGATGGTTAGGAAAATCCTGTTCTATTGCCATCTCTACTCGAGTAATCTTTGAAAGTGTTTCTGTGGTGGTGATATGTAAACCCTTGTCAAGGTTAGTGGCTGATTCACTTGGAGGGTCATTGTTTCAAAATTGTCGCAGTCTGGTTGATTCATACTCTGATAGTATAGTTTTTAGGGCAGTCGCATGACCCACAAACTGGTCTGCACATAAAGTGGCATGTTAAACCCGGTTGATGCCTCCTCTAAAATTAGTTTTCTTTAATTTTGTAGGATGGTTTCACTAAAGTATTGCCTAAAGAGGGTTCTTGATTAGGGACTCTTATTTTCTAATATTTTCTCGAGTTATATGCAACATTCTAAGCGAATCTCAGATCAACAAAGTACGTGAGAGATCCATGATTAATAAGTAAGAAATCGATCTTAACCGACAATACACATTTTGTGGTGAAATGGAAGAGTTCTTATACAAGCTCTGAAATTAAACGTACTCACTATCAGTGGCGAATCCAGAAATTTTATATAGGAGTGTCCTCTCCTAAAAATTAAGTTAAATTAATAATTAAATAAGAAAATATCTTCCTTGTCCAAAGTACGACAAAGCACATGACGTGTTTCGTATTTTGGAAAAATTATAAAATATAATCGGTGTCTAACAATGCTCTACAAATCTCTCTTGATATATCCACAAGTGGAGCCTGTAATTGGGTTTAATCGTTAGCCTTTGAAAATATTTGGGGATAAGAAATAGCTTTTTTACTATTATATTTGGATTTGAAATACAAGAACGAATGCCTTATTAAAAAAATACAAGAACAAATGAGTTATAGTCTAATGAAAAATATGTTTACTAATAGTTGCAGCGACCCAAGTTCAAATCACATAGACAATCACTTAAATGTTTATATTTACCAGTACACAAACTACTATTGGGAGATTATAATCGTTTTCCCAAATTTTAGGAGTGTCCCGCTACCACTTAAATATTTTTTTTACCTATATGCAAACTACTATCGGGGGTTGAATGATCGTATACCAAAATTTTAGGACTGTCTCGGGATACCCAAAGAGCCCTATGGATCTGCCACAGCTCAGTATGGGGCAATGCAAGTCTGCAAGAATGGGTGAACTTATGAGAAGTCACCTTTATATGCATCCCTGGGCAAAAAACATGAGGGACTAGGCCCAAAGCAGGCAATATCTTGTTGGAAAAAGGAGTGAGATGTTATAAGTGGTATCAGAGCCTCTCCGTGTCCCTCTTAAACGATGGTGGGGAAACCTCAACGAGGACGTCAAGTCCCAAAGGGGGTGTGTGTAACACGCTAAGCGAATCCCACATCGACATAGCACGGGAGAGATCCTTGATTCATAAGTAAGAAACAGTCATAAATAGCAATACGCGTTTTCAGGTGAAGTGTAAGAATTCTTGTCAGAATTATAAAGTTAAACATATTCACCGTGGCGCACTGTAAGGATGTGTGACCTTATAGAAAGTCGGGATTTTTTCCAATAATAGCACCTTTAAAAAAAAATACAAAAATAGCATACAGTCCACAAAAATTCCAAAAATAGCACATTTACATATAAACCGCACCTTCAAGGTGCGTTTTATGTGCAAACCGCACAACGGGGGAGCGGTCCACGCTAGGGTAGCCCGAAAATTGCACTTTCAGCGTGCAGTCCGCGTTCCCGAGTCGTTAATCCCCAGGACCGTTGGATGAGGTGGCGATCCAACGGCTAACCGCACGCCAACGCAGCAATCCACGTCAGGGATCAAAGACGCCGCGCCTGGCGAACGGTCAGCGCCTCGGTCGCCGTGAACCGCGCCTTCCTAGTGCGGTTTTGCAATGGGTAAAATTACGAGACCACCCCTGAAGGGTGCGGTCTGAAGGATATAAATACCCCCTCCCCCTCCTCATTTTTTCACACCACAACTCATTCTCCTCTCTCTCTCTCTCTCTTTAAAATTATCTCTCTATCCATCCCCCTCCCCTCCCAAAAGCTTAGGAAATAGTGGTCTGTTGGTTGCGGCTAAGTCCGATCTGCCATCAGAAAATATTTCTTTTGCTTTTCCTTCAAATCCCGCCGAATCTCTGTCCGAATTTCGCGAAAAAATGGACGAGTGGTTCCAAGAAGAGAGAATTTATTATGATGAATTTCAAGCTGTACGTACTCATTACTAAATGTTGTTCTTATAACCTTTTCAATTAATCTATGTACTAGTGTTGTTGTTATTTTCTCGTAGGTTGGGGACGACGTGGATATATACAACCAACGGTATTATGTTGATCAAGGGCCTAGTGATACAACCGTGTTGTACGACCAACCCAACCATCGTTCAAGGGATGTTTGGAACGATCACGAGGTACATACAATTCTTCATCATTTCTCTTTCTTTTAATTTGTTAACGTACTTAGTGGAATATAAATAAATTTGATCATTTTTAATCGTATTGGTTGTTTTCAATAATTTAATCGAATACATAGCGCCACTTACTTAGACTCTTTATAAAGAGATGCATGCCTAAGGAAATGAGGTTTTAAGCGATTATCATGATCCTCCCATTCCCTGGGAAAATCGGGTTTTAAGCGATCCTCGGATCCCCCTTTTTCTGTCAAAAAGGCTGCGTCTCTAAGAAGATGTATACCTCTTCTGAGAGTCTTACGAGTGTTGCATTGTATTTGATTAAATTATTTAAAACAACCAATACGATTTATGTGTATGTGTACAATTATAATTTTATTAATTTCAAATATTTTAATGTGTATCTCTTTAAATTATTATTCATTTAAAATGTTATTTAATTTAATTTATTAAGTATGTTTGCTTTATGAAATTATGAATATATCTTGGGAAAAATCTTGAATTATTTTAATTTTTTTGTTAATAATATAATTATAATAAAATTATAGTCAAAGTTAATTCATTTATTTTAATTAATTTGGTTATAAAAAAAACTATTACTAGTATATCATAAATAACGTTAAATTTTTCGCTAGGAGGCATACCAAATACTCCGCTACAGGGGTATGACCAATGTGCTCTCATGGAATGACGTTATTTTGCCATTTCTCAAAAAGGCACGGTTGGAGTCAATTAGGCATTTCGTGGGCATAAAAATCGATCGTCAGCTCATCAGCGCATTGGTGAAGAGATGGCGAAAAGAGACACATTGCTTCAACTTTCGCGAAGGAGAGTGCACTATCACTCTAAAGGACGTCCACGTCCTAACCCATCTGCCCATCGACGACAAAGCGGTGTGTGTGAGTGATCATGCGCCTGAGGATGTTGGTGATATGACCGGTTGGCAGCATTTGATCCACAGTGTTTTGGGGGTGCGAGTGCCAATCAAGGGGAGCGTTGATGCGACAGATCGCTTAGCACCATTGAGGAAAAACCAAGTATCAATCACTTGATTGACGAAGTGGTCGAAGGACCAACACAATCTACAAAAGGCGGGGTGCCCCTGACCGAGGAAAGTCCCGAGGAGGTGAAAAAGATATGCTCGTGTCTATCTCATAGGCATGATCGGAGGAGTGTTCTTCTCCAAAAAAATCCAACAATTTACTTAGTTGTGGATGGCTTAGGATTCTCCTTGATAGTTGGGATGCGATAAGGGAGTTGAGCTGGGCATCCGCTTGCCTAGCTAATATCTACCACCATTTGTGTAATGCATCTCTCAAAACTGTGAGGGAGGTTGGCGGGGCAATGCTCATCGTTCAATTTTGGGCTTGGGAGCATCTCTCATGGATTGCACCGGAGAAACGTCCCGACAGGAATTGGCCCGTCGACCATCCCCTACGAGGTGAAGCTTATGGTTGTAGGTAAATTTCTCATACCCAATCATGGTTTTCATAAAACAATTTCGTTATTTAGTTATAGCATTTCATTATTGTCTTACTAATAAGGTGAGTTGGAGCCACAACATGCGACAACCTTTCCCAACACAAGTTGGCGGAGTATTGGAGGAGGCTAGAGCGACTTTGGGAAGGAGAGGTAGCTAGAATACTTCGAAATTTTATAACTTTCTTTGATGGAGTACATGTATTTTCCAATTTCGTTTAACTTAAGTTTATCATTTCTTTTTGTAGATCATTTACGATCCATACCTGCCAACATCGTTACATGGCATTGTCAACAATTTCCGGGTCATATCGGTCAATGGTGCACGAGAGTCCCTCTCATTTGTCACCATATCGTGGAGTGACATTTGCCAAATAGATGCCTCCGTCGGTTTGGTCGGGAGCAATGCATTCCTTTGGAGGTCCCCGAGAGTCAAAGAACGTTTCACCACCGAGATGGTCGGCAAGGTGAGCAAGATTGGCCCTTGAAGGTGTCGAAATTCATCCGGATGTGGGAGAACCGACTAGATTTTGAGATTGTCACTCCTACAACTGTGGTTCGAATGGAGTTACATGACCCATACATGGATAGATATCAACAACAATCGGTTAGGTACATGACTCCGGAGGGTGCGGCCGATGGTGCATTGGTAAGTAATTCCGTGTAATCAATTAAATTTATTGCTTTTTATAGACATAT